CCTGCTCTCACTATTCCAATGCCGCCCTGCCATTGTTACCAGATGTACAATTATCATATTGTGCGATACATTTGCCCTCTGTTAAATCATTAATTCCCATTAATTGCCCAAATTCCCATGATACAGATTAATTTCATTGGTCAGTGAAAATATTAGGAGTTATGGTTGGTAGTAAAATGTGGATTTATGTGTATGTATACGCATGCTTATTGTGATATTTGTGAATATATACCATGTGCGTCTGCTTTTTTCGCAGTGTCTTTCCAGCCAATCTTAATTGACGGACAGGTGAAGGATGAAGGAGACACAGGCAGCAATTTAGACGTGGCGCTTGAACTTTTAACGTTTAAATGTGTTTCTGGAAAGCGAGGATGCAGGGGTGCTGAGGGGGCTGCAGCACCTCTACTGGCAAGGGGTGTAGCTACAATGGGGAAAAATAAGTTTACTTTCATTGAATTTACCGAGTAACATTTTGAGAGAAGCATAGTAGCATTTTTTAAAAGATTTGATTTGTTTGTTAGCACAGTCAGTGTGTTTTCTGTGTAGCCTGTCTGATAGTTTGCCGCACCTTCTGATGAAGGCTAAGGGCCCGGTCACACACACGGGAATTTTTAAGTCAAGAACCTTTGCCTTCAGTTCCAATCTGTTAGAGGGAGGAAGCTATTAAAACATTTACTTCCTGTGGCAAGGCATATTGCAGCTTGGCTTTGAGAGGAGTTCAGGTTTGGTGAACTTTGACCCTCGATCTTCGGGTTCGTGTATGATATGACTCTTGTAATTACAAGCCTCTAGTACGATACTTCAACATTTCCCCATCAGGCAACACGTCTCCCTGCTCACACTTCACCAGCCGCCTCCGAACTTTTAATGTGGAGGCGTGTCTGTTCACCTGCCAGCCTTTGCTCATGACAACTGTGTAAGACGCCTGCGGCTCAGGCAAGAAATGAGCTTGTTCACTTCAGATCGTGGGGTTTGTTGATCCCTGCCGTCAGAGCGTGCTGTATCAAGGCCCGGCCGATTGCATAACAGTTATTCCTGGAAATTTGACAGACCTTGGCACATTACCTTTTGAGAACGCATGTTTTCAAGGAGCCTCTGTGATCCAAGTTGTCATGGTAACTGCTGAACCCTTCTCATGTTTGTAGTGTACTCAAGACAGCCTGAACTCTAGCCTTTTAAGACCACCTATAACCACACATAGACGTGATGTTCGCTGGGGACCCTGATACCGCGTGTGTGGTAATTTGTTAATGGACTCTGTCAGACTGGACAGAGAAGAGGATCTGGTGGCGAGAGCTCCTCAATCAGAGCATGGCATTTGCTGCAGATCAATACACGTCAAGTTTCCTGCTCCACTTCCTGACTCTCTGGACTGAGAAAACCAGCCTCCCGCTGTTGTTGGCAACCGTCTCCAGGAAGTGTCTCCCCTCTGCTCGCTGGCTTCGCTGCTGCTGCTCGTAAACAAGCTCTTTTATTCATTGTCTGCACTGGAAGGGCAGAGAGGCGAGGCGGGGAGGTACTGTGGGGACACGGCGAGGGAGGGGGGAGCGGTGGTGGCTGAAGTCAGTGCTCAGGAATGTGCCTGGGCAAGCCTCGGGTTGACACAGCCCAGATGACTGTGAGGGAATCCTTGGCAGAGGGCGGCAGGGGAACCCCGTTCAACACCTCCAGCCCTTTCCGTCCCTCCTTCGCTCCCTCTCTCTCTCTCTCTCTCTCTCTCTCTCTCTCTCTCTTTCCCCTTGCGTTTGTCTTGTCCTCTTGCTCAGTCTCTCTTTGTCTCCTGCCCTCGAGCTGCAGCCAGCCTGTCTGCCATAAAAAACATTACACAACCGAGGAGGCACAGTAATGGGGAAACAGGCTTATGTCAGACTGGTGGAGCATGGAAAACAGCAGAACCCACTTCTCCACATTTCTGCTGCCGCTGCTGGCAGAGTGCAGCCAAGAGTCCCTCGTGAGTTCAACTGTGTCCAAACTGAACTCTGAAAAGCCTCCAGCAGGCAAGTTTATTCAGGATGACTCATCGGCTATTATTACACTGGCTGAGGATGGTCATTCATGGAGCTGAGAGATGACCCCTGCACAAGGGTCAGTGGGGGTTCTTGTCTCAAGCTACATCCATGCTACTAAGACTTCCTTTTGAAAATGACATTTTTAAGCTCAAACGATCTCTTTCCAAGCAAGTGGTATTGCTCTGGATCAGTTTTAGTCCCTGTCAATACTAACACGCCTAAAAAAACGCAAATCACAAGACCTGGACACTGGACATGCAGATGCCAGAACAGGAAGCATTTGGTTGTTAGTTGCAGAGATTGCAAGGCTACAAAACAAATCAAAATTAAAATCCAAAGTTGAGAGACTAAGGTCAGCAACGCATGTAATTGATAATCCATGATGTGTTCTACGCTGGTAGCCGAGGCTAATGCCGGTTGTTTTCTTCTGGAAGGTGATCACGTGATAGGAGCCTGATGAATCAGAGAAGGCTTCGTCATGACCGAAAAGATCCATTCAGTACGTCATCATTTTCAAACATCTCAGTTTCTGCCCGTTCAGGCTAAAACACAGCTCCTGGAGTTTTTAAGCTAAAATGGGGCCAGCAGTGTTTCCAATTTTCTCCATTTTCTGGGCAGCGTGGATGGCAGGCGTATTTGTAGCAGAGTTGATGCATTTTCACATGAAAACATGGATGTAGCCTCAGACATTGGCACTAGATCACGTGCAGGTTTGACTGAAGGTAATGTATTATCAGATCAAAGTTGGCTTTAATGCTTAATAGCCTGTTGTACAGTAACATTCCATTTCACTCACCCTGGCTTTATTACCAACCAAATATAGACAATAAATCAACCTGAAATGATCAAACTTTTTCATTTCCTTGGGTAAAAGAAATCTCCACATTGCCTTTGCCGTCCCTTCACCAATGAAAAACACATGTTACTCCCCCTAAGCCATAATGTGAAATAATTTCTCTTTCTTGCCAGTGGCATGTGTAACGTGAGTGCCTGCAAGGCTTTATGTTTTTGGAAGGAGGCTGTGAGCTCATGTCATGGGCCTTCCTCTGTCCAGTTTTATACTTGCGGTCTGGTCAAAACATCCAGAACATGAGTTTCCACTGCTCGAAGGAGAACACTGCTGTCATTTAGGGTTCCCACTGCTGGCTAAAAATAGCTGCTTTCCTCTCGTCATTCTGTAATGCATGCTGTAATTTAAGTTTCTGTCATGACTTAATGCAGCTTATAATGAGCAATTCTTACAAGACAGAAGTTAAAAAATAGTTTGGTGTCAGAAACAAATATATGGAGCAGTAAATAAGCTGATCAGATGTACGATTTCATGAAGTTCTTCAGATGTGATGGATGTTGTTTGTTTCGTTGGACCTGTTTGATCCATAACTCATAACTGGACTTGATGAGAAGCTGACAAACGCAGTGACTAAGCGCGTCTGTGTCTCATTATTTTGACACTGATCAACAGTACTCGTCAAGTGGAGTTTTTTTAGAATATGACTGATGTGTTTCCTGCTCACAACAGTGACTCCTGTGTGGTGGGTGTTGTGTTCTGGTGATCAAATCAGAGTTGTCCCATGCTCAGCTTGTGTTAAAACGCAAAACAAACGCACATTTGCTTTGTAAATGATTTCTGAAAAATAACATGATGACGTGAGCAAAGAGAGAATAGTCCGTTTGAATCTCTATTTGGTTTTTGTGTTACTGATGCTCAAAAGGAGGGTTTAGTGCAGGAATGAGCCTCTGCTCTGACCTCTGAGACGGACAAATTATCTCAAGTTTAGAGAGTGAAGCTGCAGTATGAATGTCAATGACCACCCCAGGTCTGATTTATAAAAAGCTAACAAAGGTGAACTTTATTCTAAAAGTAATTTCAGACACAGCTCCAACCATTGATTTGTTTCATTGCCCCGTCTTTAAACTTTTATTCTCATATTTAATTTAAGGTGAAGCAACATCGACTGAAAAGTCACCAAAGATCCCAGAGCCCACAATGAGGTCTCAGGGTTGTACGACTAACAGCTCAAACAGAAATACATTCAGGTTATTCTGATTTAAATTTAAATTGCTAACATTTGACAGAGGTGGAACAAACAAATGTCATATTTCTTTTGTTGAATAAACAAATGAATTGCACTGAAATCCATAAATGACTTCTGTACATAATTTATATTATATATATTGCACAAGTATAAACCTGCATACTTATATTGCAAATCAGAAACACAAACTTACATTGTTATATTTTTTCAATTTTTATTGTATGTAGTTCTAGTTTTCAATTATGTTCAACATGTGTTTTATATATGTTTAGTCAAAACAAAACTGGGCTAGTAACATTGACGTTACATTTACATGTAATCAGCCAAATGCTCAGTTAATGAAATGAGTGCAAAAAGAAATAAAAATTCCATAAGACTTTTTATTCACACATTTGAAAGCATTCGTGTGCAGACAGATAAACAGAGCAGAAGATAAACAATCACACCACATCAAGAGCCTTGGTTATATTATGAAGCAGTTTTTAATACATATCTGTATTGACAATGTATTCTGACCATCATTATACTGCTGAGTAGATTCTGGAGACTTGAAGCTGCATTAAAGGTGGAATTTAAAACACCCCGAGTTTAGAGTCACGTAATGGATTATTTTCCTCTAATCATATTGTACCGTTAGATTTATTCATTCCAGTAACAGTACGTGAGCAGACAATAACACTCAGCATCAAAAACAACAGTGTTGCTGTGCCGCCGCCTGAAAGTTAATCATTGTATCTAAGCAGGAACAGTTTTACAGAGCGATTTTTTTTTTTTTATGTGTGTGTGTGTGTTTGTGTGTGTGCATCTCAAAGTCAGACATAATCAAATCTATTAACTTCTCTTTGACTTTCTCCTCCAACCCCCACCCTTCTTCTCTCCCTCGCTCCCTCCACGTTCTCCTGCCCTGCCGCCAATTCGATTCCTTCACACCTGGCATGGCATGTGACATCCACAGAGCTCCCGGCTGAAGAAGGTAAATATTGATCTTTCCAGTGAGCTGCAGTCCTCCTCCCTTTACTACCTGATTAAGTGTCTTGAGCCAGGATCTTTTCTTTTCTGTGGACTGAGGGCTAAACTTTAGGGAGTTGCAGCTTTCCACCCATGGACACACACCACTACTCCTCTTTAAACACAGGGATTGTCTTGTAAAGAAAATCAATGTTAATATATCTCACAGATGCTTGAAGTGCACAGGCACATTTTTAGTCCTTTACGCTCAAACTTGAAATCTGATGTAACGTGATGGTCATTCATCTTCGTATATTTCAGGCAAGTCCCTGTGGGAGCTGGTGGTGGAGCAGTTTGAAGACCTCCTGGTCAGGATCCTGCTGCTCGCCGCCTGTGTTTCCTTCGTAAGTACGACCCCAGCTAGTTAAAATGCCACTGGCTCTCACTGCATTGTTCCGATATTCAGATATACCCCTGTGGGATTTGAGACCCAAATTGGACACTGGCCTGGCACCTAAATAAACTGCTCTATTAGCTTTAAGCAGCTTTATTCCCCTATTAAAGCCTGTTCAACCTAGTTTTGCAGTTTCTTTTTCATGTGGAAACTTGTGTATTACTGGCTTTTCCACCCAGTGTTGATATGGTTTCAGTGAGGGGAACAGGGCCAAGCACTTCAGCGAAATTGGAAACAAAGCTATCAATCAAAGCTTTCTCTGCTGAAGGGCCTCGTTCTGTGACCCAGCTTGCCCTCCGAGGGCGTAGAAGGTCGAACGGGGGGGGAGTGGGGGAATCCTGACTGCATAATAACTTTTCCAGCAATTACAGCATGTCCCCGGTGTCTCAGGAGGGAAATGCTGTTGCTATTTCAGAGAGTAGGAAAATTGCTCTAAAAATGTATATGACACAATATATCGTCTCTGGCTGTTAGTGTAGAGGCTCGGAGTTCAGGCGTGGGCTGTAACTGCAGGACTTTGGAGTGCGGGCTGACTTTTCCTCATGTAAATCAGGCTTTCCTTACTTTAAAAAGTTTGTTTATAGTGGAACACAGCTCCTGTTCCACTGCTGCACAGACCCCAGCGCTTTACAATGTCATCATTGCTTGGAGTAGTTGCTGTTCAGTAACAACAAGGTTCCTCCCGACCTGCAGCTTCATGAAACTTTCTAGTAGAAGAGAGTTGGTCCTTGAAATTCTCATAAAACTCTTAGATTTATGTTTTAAAAAAAATTCTCTCAGTTAAAGATAAAATATGTAACAATTCTTCATTAAAATGTCAAAATATGACTAGACCCACATTATATATTTTGTTGACTTGTTTACTTACATTATCCAAAATGCTTCCAACAATGTTAAAATGCAGAGAAATCCCCAATTTCATTCGAGGTAGCAGGACGTTTTAGTTTGGTCTCTGCTGTAACTTCTGGGGCAAGGAAATACTCACTGCTAGCCAGTTAGCCAGTCGTCTGTTTTTTCCTTCCACTGTTTGTATTAGTCACTGGTAATGGATCACGATTATGCATTGTTGTTTGTTGCGTAACCTGAATAAAATAAATAAATCCCCTCATTTGTGAACGTGTTTTGCGCCTGAGTCCTGTCAGGTAGATTTTCATCTGTTGTGGTGGTGGAGACAACAACTGCCATGATCCCGCGCCTGCTTCACGACGTCATCAAACAAGATATTTTGTTATTGTTTGGGTTGAAGGACCCCTAATGGCCAAAGTTAGTTCTTTAAGACAAGATCCTTGTTAAGATAAAATTTATTCTCAAATCATCTTAGCCCTTTAAGTTGTTTTCAAACATGACCTGCAGGTAAAGTCAGGAGAATTGGGTCTGGAGTTTACCCAGAGTTTTCCGTACACACGTGCACAATGCAGTGGGTTCTCTGCACAAACGCGTTTACAATAGCAGCAAATCCTCCGCATTGTTTTCCGTTGAGATGTAATAAGCATCATCAACCCCTCCACGTGGAATACAGAGGAGGACTTTTAAGAGGCTTAGGAGGAGAGGAGAAAATGACATTATTAAGTAATTAGACACAACTTTGCCAGCGCCTGTAAGTGGTAAAGCACCTGTGTGTGAGAAGAATCCTGTTAGTGCTGTAATCTCCCCTCTCGCTGTCAGACTTCGAAAAACACACACACACACATACTGCTGCTTATCGCTCTCTCCACTGGTGCAGCCAAGTCAAGGCGCATTGATGTGCTGCACTACATTCTCCCAAGTCTGCCCTGAGGCCTGTACTGTAACACAGAGGCCAAATGTTCTACTTCAAAATTGTTTGATGTTTGTCAACTGATGGATTTTATAGTAAATTGGTTGATTGGTCGTCTGTCCGGTTGGGTTTACTGGTTGTTTTACTTGCCACCATTGCGCTTTGATTGTGCACGTGTTTGTGGCACAGTTGCATGCCGCCCAACACAACTACCGTATATGCACTGGTGATTAATCAAAGTAGTTGATGAAAGCTGAGCCCCTTTATAATATTAAATAGATTCATTAAAATTACCATCATTTGAATTAAACGTAGACAAAACTATGAGCATGTGAAAAAGCTAGCAAGAGCAACTCTCTGTTCCTTGCTTAAATTTTTCCCTTTATCACTCCTAAGCTCTGAATCCTTGTAATTCATGAGTGTAAATCAGGGGAGTATACCGAGAGTATTCCCAGAATGTTTGTGAAAACAGTTCCTGATCTGACTCTAAATCAAAAATATATTACAATCCAGAGCATTTCAGACCAATGTTCAGAGCTTGTCTGTTGATGAATTATATTCCCTATATATATTCCCTTTGTCCTCTATAAGCTCTTCTATTTGCTCACTGTTTTGTAAGTCTCCAGTATAATCAGGGAGTGGCAAAAGCTGAGAGAGTCATTCAAACCTCATTTGGTTAGTATGAACATATTCAAATTGAGATGATTAGAATCTCCTGCCTTCTTTGCACGACACATAAGTGAAGCTTGTTATCAGACACAACTGGTTAGTTGGAGTTGGACTCCCTTACAAGCTATATACAGCTACTGGACAGATATAAGACACATTTACATTATTAAAAAAATAAGTGATTTAACCATTTTACTGAAGTTTATCTATTTTAATTTCCCTGAAGCAATAAGCCTATAGTTATTTCTCTGGTAGGGTTTAATCTAAAGAGCAGAGCTACAGAATGCTGTGCTTGCCACCAGAAACAAACACTTCACTTCCTCCCTTTGAGTTTAGGGAAGAATGAGGGCTGAACTTATAGTTTTTTTTCAGCCACATATGGATGAATTGGATTTCAAGCCTCCTTTGTTTACAGTATGTTTTTTTAATAGCTGACCTTATGATCAATTTGATATGAATAAAATGTGTTTTTTCCATTTTTCTGATAATTCTGTGACATACCAAAACCCCTGGAGACGTTCAGAAATAACGGGCCATCTGTCGGCATGCGTCTCGGCGCTCAGTTATACATGTGGGGTGTAAGGAGAGGGTTATTTTGGTGACACAGCTTTCATATTCAAAACCAACACGATAACATGAAGCAGGCAGTTAAATTTCCACCAGAAATCCTCCTCCATTTTAACAGAGGGGAAAAGCAGGAGTTAGGTATTCAGACCGAAGGTGTGCCGACCATGAAGTGTCTTCTGAAGCGTCCTTTACTGAGAGGACAGACGTGTTGCCCTGCAGTCTCAGCTCAGTCAGAGAAGAGATTTAACGTCCCAAATGAAGGGGAATGATGAGCTATCGATCTGGCTCAGGCTGTCATGACTTACACACTAATGCTCAACATCGTTTGAAGAATATCTTCTCACCCCATCTGCAAACTGAAGCACAGATCCACTTTATCCTTCCTTTACTCTCTGAAGAGTAAAAATCATTTCTGTGTTGCAATAGGAAGATTTTCTGTTATGATCTCTTAATGTTGTGCTTTGTTGCTTATTATAGCAGCTGCCATGGAGTAACTTCCACCTCTGAAAGCTTAACCTGTTGTCACCAGAACAATTCACATTTGAGAATGGTCTCTAGGGGGCGTTAACAATGGTCACAGACCAAAAACCAGTCACAGCAATGACTGAAAAATGTAAACAGATCCTATACAGCAGTTGTTGGGTCTTCTTTTTGAGAAACTATACCCTCCTAATTATGTCTCTAGCAGATTCAGCAGACCTCTGTCTCTGCCATCTTTACTCTCAACGAAAATGCTCCAGCGGCATTCCCATTGGCTTTCCTCTGTCATTCAAAACCCGCCCCATTATACATAAATGGCTATGATTGGCCTGATCAGTTTCAGGATGGATAGAGGTCCGTCAGAATGGAAGGGGACACATCCATCTTCAAGAGCAAATAGAAAGAAGCTCACTGATTGGTCTAGTTTCCAAGCAATTAGTATTCAGCTTTCATACTGTCTGGTTATAGAGAAGTAAGATTAAAGATTAAAATCTTTTAAGTATTATTTTAAATGTATATTCTATCTGAGATATTTGGTGCACTGTAATGCCCTGTGCTGCAAAATACGCTCCTTCAAAATGGAGCTTCATAAGATTGAATGTTCATTCTATCTAATCTCAACAATTTAATTTTTCCAATAATCAAATTTTCTGCAGGATTCAATTTATTTTCATTGCCCTCTTCATTTTAGGCATCGACTTGTTGCTCTAGGCAACCCAACATTTAGTCATCTGCGTGTGTGTTTTCTTTTTTTTTTTAACACACCCTTTATTTGTTTTAATAGATATTTCAATATTTGACCGGTTTTATTGGAATGAATAAACTTGCAAAAATATAATTAAAGGGAACTTAAGTAAATAAGTTTAAATAGAGAAATGCCTATTAGACTAATTATATTGCATAATTTTGTTCTATTTGTTCTGAATGCCTGAAGCCACTGTTGTCCTGCTGGATGGGAGACGCGTTTTTTCTTGTGCTCTCACTTGGCTCTGCAGTATCTTGTTATTGCAGTTCTTCCTGCCTGAATTCTTAACTGTATTTACTGCAGAGGACTGGCATGGCAGCCATTCAGTTGCAAATCACATACAAGTGAATGAGAAAGTGGTCTCCTAGCTTAAATGGATATGTAAACAGTTCAGACAGGTAAAGTAATCATCTCAAAGAAGTTGACAAAAAGAAATAATTAAGTTGTGGATAAATGTTAAAAAAAAAGTGTGAATGCATTGGATGAAATGCTGACTTTTCAATTTATGAAAAAAATAAAATGCTGTTTAAAATAAATTAAAGTAAAGGCAGCTGGAGTATGACGGATGGTGTCAATGAAGAGGTCATTTAATTCATTTGACACAGCTGTTGAGCTCCATCAGACAGAAACAGGTTGGTGAACCTCGGCTTTAGCAACACACTACAGCCTCTGTCCAGATTTCAGTCTGCCTGTCTAACTCCAGGTTTTCCTGCACCACCACTCAGCCACTTTTCCTCCCAAACATGTTACAGAGAAGCCTGCTGTGAAAATGTGTCTGAGCTGCTGTGGGAGTCACAGTGTAGTATGTCAATCTGCTGATGTTATGTCTGCTGTATGTTCATACAGGTATTGGCTCTGTTTGAGGAGGGAGAGGAGACAACCACCGCCTTTGTCGAGCCTGTTGTTATTCTTCTCATCCTGATTGCCAACGCAGTTATCGGGGTCTGGCAGGTGAGAAACACTTCATCTTCTGTCTCTGTGTATTGTAAAGTGTGAGTGCATTCCAGTTCTCATGGTTACAAGGTTCCAGTTCACCGGGTGATTTATATTTTACCCATGTACTATATTCAAACTGACACCGGTGTGTTAACGTCTGTCCAAGTAGTGCATTGATGTGAGGTGAGGCTGCTGACGGTGGAACAGTCGAGTCTGTGCGTCAAAACGGAAACAAATCGTGGAGCTCATGCAAAATGCCAGCCTCCATGAGGAAACAGGAATTTTTAAATAGATACGGGCGTCAATCAGCCCTTTTAGAGCAGATGTCATGTTGCATTGCACGGAGTGTGTTTGCTGTTAGGACTCCTGTTCAGACCTGGTATTATCAGTCCTGAGAGATCGGATCACAAGTGGTCACTGTTAATTCTCGTGTACGCCTGGTATTAAAATGTGTCTCCTGTGACTACAGATCTCACCTACTCTCTCTATATGCAAATAATCCCAACTGTCATTTGTGTTCACGAAGATCAAATGAGGTGAGGGATAGTTCACCCAAAAATGAAAATTTGCTCATTATCTACCTCTATGCTGATTGAGGGGTGGATGAAGTGTTTGATCCACAAAACCCAAAAAACCCCACAAAACTCAAATTCAACTCGGAATGGCGTCATTTATACTGTTTTTATCCTAAAAGTCCTCTGATATTCTCCTCTGGAAACCATTCACACGTGGATCAGAGTGAAACAGGTCTGAACAGTGTCCCAACGTCACGGGAGGATTATTATTAGGATTGCTAAAACTTCCATATACAGATTTAAAAGTGTCTCTCTCCCACTTTCTGAGCACTTGGCTTCCATACACTAATGACAATAAAACAGAATAGCATGCAAGCGATTGAACTAGATCTATTATTTGAAAAAGAAAAACCTTGATATTGACCATTGACCATTTTCTGACACGTCTTCCGACACAGGAGCGCAATGCTGAGAACGCCATCGAGGCCCTGAAAGAGTATGAACCAGAGATGGGGAAGGTGTACCGCATGAACCGCAAGGCTGTCCAGAGGATCAAAGCCAGAGACATCGTCCCAGGAGACATAGTGGAGGTGGCAGGTAAGCTGTAACCCAGACAAACTCCTCCTGTCATTCCCTGGGACTAATTGATGCTTTGTCTGAGAGGACTCTAACTGCCTGTGTGCTACCACTTACCTCTGCCACACACTCACAGAAACACGCACTCACGCAGCCTCAGCCACTCATTCATGAGTCTGGAAACTCCGTTGGAATATCTCAGACTGGATTGCATAAGAGTCTTTCCCCTGGATGTGCAGGTGCCAGGGCTCTTATCCAGTTGTGTCTATTTGTGTGTGTGTGAGGTTGTGTGTAAGTGGCTGTGGTCACCCCTTGTATTTAAGGCCCAGTTGAATTTTCCAGCGCTCTCCCCATCCCTTTGCTTTCCATGCTCTCAGTCTTACCACCTGGACGCCGCTGGAAGTTTGTCAGCTGCTCACTCACACTCCCCTACGTTACATACACACAATTCCCCCGCTGTAACCTCGCCCTTGTGTGGGCAGCCTCAGCTAAGAATAGTGTTGTTGTCACTCTGGTTCCAGAACATCTGTGTATGCCAGATTGAATGTGCAAGCAGACACACACATGCAGCACCAAGGAGATCCCCTCACTATAAACATAAACGGCTTCTGGAGCTTGATCTTTGCCATTGCACGGTGGGTGATTCGCCTCAGACGGTCGCAGTGATGCATGGAAGGGAAGGCAGAGCTCAGGGAGTGTGTGAGAGATCACAGCGTTCATTCATAAGCAAGGCACGGAGAGGCGAGGGATTATACATGCTGCTTTGGTTACACTGAAGCCTCGGCTCCATTTCAACACAAAATCGTTTCAGAAATGGAAATGAAATCCCCCCCTTCCAAGCAATGTCCGCAGACAGCTTCTTAGAGCACCCTCCACAGGAAACTCAAATTTGGATATTTCATAGAATTATATTTAAATAGTTTTTCTTGCTCTTTACAGAGTCTAGTTTACATTACTTATCAGACGTGTATGTTTATGTCAAAGCCAGCACCTTCGTGGAATTTGGGCTTGTCACAGCCGGTCACCTCACAATCACACATGCATGCGCACACACACACACAGACAAGCCCACGCAGGTACAGCAAGCACCAGAATGACTCCGCTCAAACCCCCCCCCCCCCCGTCCCCATCCTCCGCCACTACCACCGTCAATACTGGCAGTGTCGCCATGACAACGCGCGGCACCCTGTTCATATCTGTGTCGCCGAAGTTCACGAGGGGCTGAGGTTTAATGACACCGGTGATGACAGCGTGGAGGCGAGACAGATATGACTTTAAATGAAGCAGCTGCTGTTTGAATAAGGGACCCGATGTTTCTGGTCGAGGTCAGCAGCTGCTGGCGGATCCCGGTGGGTGTCCCATTGTGTAGGGACTGTGGGTAAAAACACTAGGCTCCAATGCTAACTCCTCTTCTGTTGATCATTATTTGCTTTCCTGAATGATAAACTGGAAAAATGTTGCAGGTAGATAACACTATAATTAATAACAACACATTTTCTCGACGCCCAATTTATCAGAAAAACATGAATGACTAAAGCCAAACCTTGCATTCAAGTCAGATTAGAAGACAACGCCTATAAACCTAACATTAATATCATGAAAGAAGGTTTGTGGGAGTTCACACAGAAGTCACACGCCCCACATATCACACAAGATCATCATATTTCATTTTATCCTTATTTTATTATTCTACATAGTTAAATTTTCTTTGTATTAATTCTCCCTTTCAACTTATTTTTTTGTTTTTACTGCAGATTTATCGATTTTACATCCTTTAATCTTTTCATCTCTTTTACACTACTCTGTTTAATCTTTTATTTTGCTTTAAAATTGTTTTAAACTGTCAGATGTAAGTTGTTTTTGAGTTTGTTTGCTTTTATGTCCCTGTACAGCATCTTGATTCTACCTCTTTTGTTTTGAGAAGAGATATGATGGTGCTGTTATGCACCCGGATACATTTTTGCAAAATGCACACTGTCATATATTCAGCGGGTCGTTGTGTCTGACATAATGTTGTTGCTAAGCAGTTTTAAACAGGGGTAAACAGCTGAGGTAGGTAGCACCACATGCTCCTCTCACTTAGAAAATATGCGTTTCAGCGATCGTCAAGAACACCCATCTGACTGCAATATGTGCAAATATTGGGACAAAGAAAACAAATTAATATTTTCCTTTCCTACATGGATTTCCCAGGCTTTCCTGTACTTCAGATTAGCCGGTGGTTGTTCCATGGGAACTGGATGTTAGGGGGTAAAATAAACTGCAAGCAGGTCTTGGAAAAAGACACCGTCGACCACGAGCCTTTGAGGAGAGAAAAGAACATTAAATATATTTACTCGAGTTTCCACTGCCGCTGCCCGCCTGTCTTTTTGTAGGTGCACTCGGGCGATGCCAGCCACCGTTACGACACAGTTGTGATTTGCGCCTCCACTGGAACTTTCCTCTGTTTTTTTAAATGGAGTGACTGCAGTGGTCAGATTGTCAGGAACTCCTAGCGGGTTTGCCCCGAGCCATTCCCAGTATCGAGTCACGGTTAGCCTGCACGTGAATGGAGACATCTCTGCCAGTATATTATGCAAGATGTTCAGATTTATTTTGGAATCCAGTTTTACTAAATGGAAAGGGAGATCTGACTGTTCAAACCAGACAAATATATGATCTTTAAAACATTTAGGAGATTATCTGAACTCAGCACAGCTGCATTAGGATTTGAATTTCTCTTCTGGCAGATGGAGGGTGTCTGTGGGAGGCCGTGGCAGAAAGTGAAGATTTGATAGGGGAGCAGGAGTCTGTGGGTAGGCGTTTTGAAAAGCCTCTCTTTTCTGCCCTCGACCGGTCCTGCTACAGTGAACCTGTAGCCCCCGGCCACCTCCCACACAGGCAATCCACACACTTCTCTCCCCCTCTCTGCCTCTCCTGCTGTTCTCTCACAACCCATGGGTGTCAGACGGAGGACGGCAGAGAAGTATGGAAATGGAAGCACAGCCATATTCAGCTACAGCACTGAGCACACACAGTCTGGCCTCTTTGTCCATCTGTCTCCCCATCGCTGGTCCTGTCATGAAAAATTCCCCCTCGAGTCTCAGGGCATCTACCGACTCATTCCACAAACTGTCTGTGTACATGTGGAACGCATATCTCAAGAACTGTCTTATCTTCCCGGCTTCACACACACACGTGTTGTGTATTGTTAATCCCCTGGGAAGTGCAGTGGTACATTTGATGCGATTTGGATACATGATATATTCAATATGAATAAACTTTGAATAAACATTCAACCTTCTCTCTTGAGCAGTCAATGGGGGCGGGGCAGTGTGCCTTCAGTCTGTTGACCAAGATGAACATGTCTTCTGTGTCCTTGGATTAACAAGTGGTTGGCAAACCACTGGTCAAAGTTGCAGCCAGATCATTTTGATGATTACATTTATTATATTTCACCATGTCTGATTGACACAGACATTCATGGGTGTTCAAAGTAAAAGCACATTTGTTTTGTTGCTGCAATACTTTATCTCAAGCTGAATTACAGAGCTTTAATTTTGAAAAGTTGTGAACTTGGGTCAGAAGATTGTTTCATTTGCTTAACAGACCTCTGAAATAGCGAATAGACATGTAATGTATGAAAAAACACAACCTGTTCAAGAAACCATCTAAACCTATAACAGACATCTGAGCAGTAATAATGACAATTATTTTTCATTTCATGAAAAACATTGACAATAAAATATTTAATGCAGATAAACCAGGTAGGATTAACACAAAATGTTCTAACTTCACTCTGCAGCATAGACTGTTTGTTTATAAAAAGCTCTGCACACAAACAATAAAAAAAAAGTATATTGTAGAACTGTTTGAGGAGGACAGGCAGGTTTAGAAAGGACACTTGACTGTTTGAGCTAATATCATGAGTTGATGATAAAGAAATGGAAAAAGATCAACGCATTATCATACACTTTGAAAACCTCACAGGGATGCATGCTCGCACCGAAGCCATTCTGCCTGTCGAGTGTCGTAGAGGAAAAGTAGAAAATCAACAAGCTTTTTAATGTTAAAGCTTTGGTAGATTCACGGGGAGTCCTTTAGTTTTCTGGTTGTCATTAACGTTGAGAAGCAGTGACGCCTGAGGACTCTCAGTCGGCATTAATGAGAGAATTATTACGCAAAGTAATGATCGGTGCTTTTCCTTGTCTGTCATGTTTGAGAGAAACGAGTGATCTGTTTGGGATCGTTCTGCTCTCAACTGTTCTGAGATGATTGACGACATCAAATGACCGTTTTGCACCAACAAACCTTGACCTGCTGTGTTAATTATCATGTTCTGAAGTAGACGAAGCAACAGCCACTTGTGAGGCATTAGATGAGAAGCTGAGAAGTTTTAATATGGAATCTTAATGAACAGACTGTGGTGGAGAAGATGAGAAGCATTTATTGCAGGCTTCATCTGTAGTTTCTGCCACTTGTGAGGATGTGGTGTTATCAGAGGAACACAGAGAGTGAAGGGAGAACAAAGAGGAGGTGAAATAATCGATCATTTGAAAACGGCAACATGACTCCATCAAGGCAGTATCGAGCCGCTGTTTACTTGGGGCTGCAGCCGGAGCCTGGTCTGAATCAAACAATGTTTCTTTGCTCAGGGATTTATTTGCTCGATCACAGACACTCGATAGGGTCTGAGCGTTCACCTGCAGCTAAACTCATGGACTCCTCGGAGGATGCAACACGAGCTGAAGGTCAGACTTCTTAGGAGAGCAGTGTCATCTTCCCTCTCCCTTGTATTAAAGTGGTATGTTAGCTCTCACTGGATATCTTGTTGTGCATTTTTTGGTCACGCTAGCAGCTCTGTGAGTTGGTTGCTCCTTCATTCCGCAACTTTGACGCAGACTGAAGAAACTATATGTATAACCATGAAATTTTACAGAAACTCATGGTCCGCAGAGGATACTGCGTATGTGTCTGTATCTGTATTACTGTGTTGATCCCTTGAGTTTTCCTCCATTTCAGCGAGCAGGTTGACATTTCTGGTTCAGAGTGAAATATTTTGCGAACAAAATGTGTTTCTGATGTTCACCGTGTTTATATGATAAGCTCTAATCTCCTGACTTTTCTTCTGGGTCAGGGATTTTGCTTCTTCAGTGAAACCACTTGGCATATTACGCTGATTTTTTAAACATTATATTTAATGTCCCTATATCTAACATAAACATATTCAGAAATGTTATATCTTGATCTTGATTGTCACTTCTCAGGGCTTCATCATGCGAAAGAAATTCTGATTGCCCAATAGCTGCAAAACTGATGACAGGCTATCTTTTTTGTTTTTGTTGGTAGTTGGTGACAAGGTGCCTGCTGACATCAGAGTGACATCTATAAAGTCCACCACCCTTCGAGTGGACCAGTCCATCCTCACAGGTATTTCTCATCTCTCATCACACAGATGAGCTTTAAGGCTTTCACATTATTCAAATAGAGCGTACACCCCTTATTGCTTTAACTGAACTTAGAAGAATTAGGGTTATAAGCAATCTTGTTTTCTGTGATAGTTTCTACTCTCTAGGCCGTGAATGTAACTTTGTTTGGCTTTGGCACTGTCGAAGCATCTCATTGCTGCTCTCACCTCACACACTCACAGATCTAGTTGTGTACAACTGTCTCATTTTCTTTTTTTTAAAGGGGAGTCTGTTTCCATCATCAAACACACTGACCCTGTTCCTGACCCCAGAGCGGTCAACCAGGACAAAAAGAACATGCTGTTTTCTGTAAGCATCCCCCACAATCCCTGCAGCTCTCAGCCCAGTCATTTTTTATCTTCTGCCTTCACAGCAATAATAATGTTATTATATGCAAACCTTGCTTGTTCCCTCAGGGCACCAACATCGCTGCAGGCCGTGCCATAGGTGTTGTGATTGCCACTGGCGTGACCACAGAGATCGGTAAAATCCGTAACCAGATGGTGTCAACGGAGCAAGAGAAGACACCACTGCAGCAGAAGCTGGATGAGTTCGGACAGCAGCTCTCCAAGGTCATCTCCCTGATCTGCGTAGCCGTGTGGGTGATCAACATCGGCCACTTCGGAGACCCCGTCCACGGCGGCTCCTGGGTCAGAGGAGCTATCTATTACTTTAAAATTGCCGTAGCATTAGCTGTGGCCGCCATCCCAGAGGGCCTCCCCGCTGTTATCACCACCTGCCTCGCCCTTGGCACGCGTCGCATGGCCAAGAAGAATGCCATCGTTCGCAGCCTCCCCTCTGTCGAGACCTTGGGCTGCACCTCTGTTATCTGCTCTGACAAGACGGGCACCCTCACCACCAACCAGATGTCTGTTTGCAGAGTAAGTGGCATTCGGGAAACGAACACATACTTATTTTTTTGAATTCAGGACACACAGCAGGATTTGATCTAGAGCAGAAACTAAAGGCTAATCATTTAATTCCCACATCCTGTCATTTGACTGACTCGTGGGAACTCCCTCTGAAAAAGTTCTGCAGAAGTCTACAAGGGTCTGTTGTTCATTATACATGCACAGTTCATCCACCTTTTCTCTCTGTGTGTGTGTGTGTGTGTGTGTGTGTGTGTGTGTGTGTG